TTGTTTGATCCATATCAGGAACAAATAAATGCAGTACCAGCTTGCAATATTTGAAAACAGAAAGTTCATTTTGTATGTTAACAAGAAAAAATACATTTATGGTTGGTTTATAATGAAAAATGACGAATAACATACATCTTTTGAAGTAGGGGTATACAGGGACACAGTGGAAAATCAGAAATTTAGGTCATATCCCAAAGATTGCTTCACCAATATGTAACAGAACATCAAAATTATAATTTACACGTTTGCTGCTAGATTTATTAAAAATAATTAACCAGAGGTTAACTTAAATTGTGGCACCATTCTTATTAATAAATACTGATGAACATACGAATATCGAATGTTGACTAAGTTACTTGGCTTGACCGATAGCACATGCTCTAGGTATGATTGATTCTACTTTCTATAGACACCAAACACATCTCTGTCGATAGAATAATGAAAAAGCCTTAGGGTCCTCCCAACCTCCTTTATTTACATTTTATTTAAATGTGAACAATGACAAAAGTTGTCATAACTTTTTAAATCTAAAACTCTTAAACCGATTTCACTTGCCAGCGACAGGTACTTTAGTCTTTCACGAACCAAATATGTCAGTTTGGTTCGTAATATCTCCAAATAAACGATTTCAACATTTTTAAAAACTCGATGCTAGTCCACGTGTTAATAAGGAATTTGTCGACTCAATAAGTAAAGTCAATGAACGAAACGGTGCGCTCGTGAATGAAAAGTAATTAAGATAATTAGTAGTGTTATACAATATTAGTATGTTTTAACCGGGGTATGAAAAACAAAACCTTGACAGCTTGAATCTGCGTTTTAATACCATGGCCATTTAAGTTTAAATTATAACTCCATTCGTCATGGAGAAGGTAAGAGTGCCACACCGTTTCAATGTACCAAAACCTTCGCAAGAAAATCAACTAAATTGTAGCATGAGAAGGGAGGTAGGTCGTGCAAATAAGGAAAAGAAGGAGGAGAGGGGTATCAAGGTATCCATTTCTATGCTAGAAATGACTTCCAATTGTTACTTTTACGCATAATACAGAGGCCCTTCAAAACAAACAAATGGTTTTCCAATCTTAGCCCTGACCGAAATGCACCTTGCAGATCCCCAGGTAGATTGTTATCTTCACAGAACTTAATGATTCTTGTTTCAATTACAGAGGTAAACAATATACATAAGAATTGATAGTTATGCCTCTATAATTGTCCAAAACGTCCTTATCTCCATTTTTATGAATTGGGAACAGGAGACCCTCTTTCCATTCTGAAGGCATTTCCTCTCGTAATTTGACAAGATGAAAAAGATCATGGAGTGAATTAACTAATAAAGCGCCCCCCCCTGTTTGATAATTTCATTTGGAATTTGGCCAGTTCAACAAGCTTTGCCATTACTCAAGCCTTGAATAAGTACCTGTATGTCACTAGGATTGAAACATAATTAGAACAGGGCATTATCGGAGAATTGTGATAGTGTTTGTACAAGCTTTCTTTTATTAGCAACTTTTGATAACTACAAGGAAGATCTCTCTTTTCTGGCACGACTGTAAAGGTGTCCAAAATCATAATTATAATAAAAATAGATCATTTCAAAATCCATCTAGTTGCTTATTATACACAGGTAAAGTCATATTCATTAAGAACTACGGACGGTACTTACATTCTTTAGTTGTAATGTTTTATCATGTTTAAAAGAAAAATACGCACAAATAGTCTGTTTTGATTTGTATGCTCAGTTATAAATGAGCAGTGTAACTTAGAAATAGCTTATCATAGTCAGAAAGAAGCAATTATAATGTGTGAATATATTGCACACTTACAGAGTATTGCGTTTACATATATTTGAGTATTCTTAACTTCACATATAGTCAGTGCTTATTTGTGCTGTTCTACAAATAAATAGGAGCAATACCTGAATATACAGAGTGTTCCATATATGCAGCGAGTATTGTCTCTGTAATGTCTCTGTTAATATGTGCTGAGTATTTTTGCTGATTACTGCACATTACAAGAGATTCTTACAAATAGTCACTTCTTATAACAAGCAAGCAATATTTTATATTTTATGACTCCGTAAATAAATCATGCAAACATGATTCAAAATGTGTTGGTGTATTTCGAGCCATCCTGTGGCCTGTATAAAATTTATTTTTATTTATAGTTATAAAAATGATATTACATAATATTATACAATAACAATACTATTACATCACAATATTAACATAGTCAAATAATGTTTTTTTTGGCTGATAAGAGCCACAGAGACACATAGATGTGTGTCGTAGGCCAAAAATAAGTATATAGTGTTCTAAGCATTCTTCATACATTCTTCATGCATTCTTCCATATTAACACTTGGAAACCGTCTACCCATTCCTTATTAACACATGGACAAGCATCAAGTTTTTTAAAATGTTGAAATCGTTTATTTGGAGATATTACGAAATTTACATGATTACCAAATTTACATGTTTGGTTCGTAGAAGACTAAAGTATCTGTCGCTGGTAAGTGAAATCGGTTTCAAGAGTTTCTAATTAAAAAAGTTCTGAAAACCTTTGTCATTCTTCACGTTTTTGTAAATGTAAACGAGGGAGGTTAGGACCCTAAGGCTGTTTCATTATTCTATCGACAGAGATGTGTTTGGTGTCTATAGAAAGAAAAATCAATTTCCTAAAGCATGTGCTATACAGTATCGCCGTGCGAACTTGCTGTGAAACATTATCTCAATTTCCGTAGGACAAGGTCACCATTTTTCATGAAATGGTATGATTTATTCCACATAATTAGAGAGGTTCAGCAACACTACTTTTTACAACTTGAACCGCATCATATGCATATTTAGATGGATTTTTATGAAAATATTTAGACTGAAAGATCGTCGGGTAGGGAAGACAAGAACATTTTTTCTTAAAAACTAATAAGGATATGGTAATATTGTTTAGCAGATATCTGAGAGACATGTTCAGTATCTCCTCAAAAAGTTTTCATGGATACATGATATATAGTTTTTGGAAAATCATTTTTCACTCAAATTATTTTAATAGAAAAATAGTGCATTGCAATTTCCTGGAGTTCTACTGATAATTTGACAACAAAAACTAATGCGTTTGTTTAGCCAATATGTTATCTTCATCTGGACAACAGCAATTCCAATGCGTAGCAAATCCAATCGAACAGCCATGGCTGGCATTTTTACAATCAAAGTATATAGCAAAAATGGCAATCATTTTTCAAAATGGCCACCTTCTACCAAAAGTGTCATTAGACAGTGTGCCATGCTTATATAGTATTCACATACCAAATATGAACAAAATCGCTCCAATACTTTTTGAGTTATAGTAAAATACGTTAAAATGGTGGCGATTTCTCAAAATGGCTGCCTTCTACCAAAAGTGTCATTAGACAGTGCGTCATGCTTATAGTATTCACATACCAAATATGAACAAAAACGCTCCACTAATTGTCGACTTACAGCAGAAATTGGAAAATAACGAGTAAAGGCCGCCTTTTTTCAAGATGGTTTCCGTGTGCTTCTTTAATATGTTACGTTCGAAAAAAACAGAAAGTAAACACAGCAATTAAAATTTAACAATGTACAGTGCTATATTTTTTAAAAACCAAATGTGATAACAACAATATATTAAAATAGGAGTCAATACTTATGATATGTAGATGTAGATATAGCTGTCCAATAAGTGATACGTCTGTCTCTCGATGTCGATAAATATGCTTGATGATCCTTGATAATGTTCCAGATCACAAAACGTTTAAATAATCGATAATAGTTTCCTATGTTTGTTATCATTCAATAATGTACGTCGTAATCCTATTACGTTCGTATCAAATAATGTTTGATGATAATCCACGAATGTTAAATGATAATCCACAAATGTTTATGATAATCCGTATAGAGCGTGTGCTGTAATATATGCCCATATAAAGTCCAGTTATGAATTACTTAATTTTTCTGCTGTTCAGGTCCAATCAGCTTTTCTCTTACATAGTACAAAGGCAAAGTCCAGACGTTTCCATAATGCCACGACCTCCAGAAAGTAACCTGATTAAATGATTAAAGTTCCAGTACTTTCCGGAAGGCAAAGGGCTACTGGCCATGGGTCACTCAGTTCAGTTTTGTTTACAAGATACAATGTCATTGTGACCTTGACCTGAGATCTCTAATAACGATCAGTCACAGTATATGCATATTGATAAACTAAACTAAACTAAACTAAGCTAAATTAAACTTAATGTGAATATTAATATATATTAATAGAAGTTTGTACTATGACAAATATTAACATTTCTTGCTTTATATTAATGTCTTATATAATTTTTTTTACATTTTTAAAAAATATTGCTATTACAGTTTTACACATTGCACCTAAATTACCATAGTGTGTATGTGTACAAAATATGAACAGAATCGGGCCTACGGTATTTGAGTTAATGCCAGGACGGCCGGACGGACAGACGGACGGACGGACGGACGGAGGCGTTCCCTATATCCATCCAAACTTCGTTCGATAGGACAATAAGGGGCAATTAATCCACCCATCATCACAATTTTAAGCAATTATGAGCAAATTTTCACCAAAAATGCAACATTTATTTAATTTTTTACGACTAATTTGAAATGAACTATAAGTCATTATTGACCTATGAAAAGGAAAGTTTAATCCCCTTTGGATTAGGATGATCCGAAAACATAAGAATTTTAGGTTAAATATCTAGCGTAAAAACATCATTTTTTGATTTGGTTAAAATTGTACAAAAGCATTGGAGAGTATTACATAATTGATCTCCGAAAAGAAAAAAATAACAAAATAACATGGATTGTGAGATATAATTGATTATAACAAATGGATTATGCGGTCTCCCTTTCTTATTTATCCTTTACGTGGAGTATACGGTCAAATACATATAGCCAGGAATAGCACAGGATGTATCGATCGAAACCATATTGTATAATTTATTGGTTATTTTTATACTTTCAGGCATATATCAGAAGTTGACCTTAGCAGGAGAAGGCGGTCAGGATATTATTCTTGGTGTATATGAGTTGCAAGAGGAAAGAAATGATGGTCGTGTAGTTTATAAATATGACGTTTTCTATCTATATTATATCAGTTCGTATGGCGACTGGAATATAGGAACAGATCTTGGAAGCACCAAAATCTATGGTTATTTTACCGATGCACTCCCTCAAACTCAATATCCGGAAGATTTACAGAGTTATATGAAAGTAGCTGGTGGGAACGGATTTGTAGATACTACTTACGTGATAACACCATACACAGATGGTATGTATTCTTGTTTTTTGCTTGGATTAAGGTCAAATGAGTTTTAGACAAGCATAAATATATATTTTTAGATTTTAATACACCTTCTTCAAGAATTTTTATGACCTATAATATGGTACCTTAATTTTTACGCTAGCTCTTCAACGCCAGGGGGTGGGGAATCTGTCCCCCTCCCCTTCCTTCCCGTAAGTGTTATGACAAAAACGTTGTTGAACTTCCAAAACACGACGAATTGAGTATCGCGAAATCCCATTTAACTTAACATAACGTGAAATTGACAGTCTTCAATTTCAAGTTCAACTTATTATTGGTATTAGCATTTTATTTCAACATGAACAACAAATGCCAATCGTTAATTTAGTCTGCAGATGTATAAATGTATGACTTGGTTTTGTTTTAATATGATTTCGGCCCATTATGTTGCCGAGAAAAGGCACACGCATCGAAATAGGGAAGTGGAAAAATTAGGGGTAGGGGAGAACAAAAAAATCATATCTAAAGTTTGGAAAAGGGTATCATTATAATTCGGATACCATAGTGTGCATAGATATTTAGGAATATGCAAAAGCAAATTCAAAGGTATCCATCCATTTTTCTATCATATTCGTGAAGAGAACGCATTTCACGACTACTTGGTGATTGACAGTTTTTACCTTTTAATATTCATAACAACCGAACACAGTCAATAGTAGCTCGATTTTCTTAAAATAAAGCATCTTGGAAAGAGAATCCGAAAAGTGTCTTATATCCGTGGCTCAAAAATAAAAGCTAAAAACAGTTAAATAACGGAGACGCAAAAAAATGCAAAAAGTGCTCTTGAAAAAGTCGAGAGGGGGTCAGATGGATCCCCCCGCGGACATTGGGGTTAAGTCATTTCTGATCATTAGCTTTGAGACTCAGACACTGGTATCGCATCTAATGAAGCATGAAAGTATTCCCTTTGACATCACACAATCCACTGATCCATTTCTTAGGAGCAAAATGCACTTATCAACATTATTCAAGTTAACATTTTAAAATGTTTGATAATTTACGAGAATTTATTTATGTATGATATACATGGTTAATTAGAGCCATTCTCTCAAAGTCTTTTATTTGCCCCGGTTGTTTTGATTACCCGTTACTATTGCAACCATTTCTGACTTGATATTTCTGTTATTTTTTGCTGGATTGATGTGACATTATATGCTGCATATTCGGTGAAAATTTCATTAGAACATATCAAAAAATAAAGAAATTAGAGAGATATTATGAAAACTTTATGATCAATCCTCGTACATGTACATTGCATTGTTTGTACTATTTCACGGTGCCCAACCCAAACGCTCCTACATGCACGACGGAGCGTTTCATTCATGCGGAAACACTGCGGAGCGAAATAAAATGGTGCTTATGAAGATCCCACTATGAATTGTATTGTTCCACTCGTTTCTCTTACATATTATCATACGTTTTGGTAACTATTTTACTTTTTTCTGTGCTTTGAAAAAAATGACGTCACACTGTTGTATTAGTACTCGCTTGTGAAATAATATGACATCATTCTGTTTTCTATAAAAATATGAAACGTCATCACTGGTTGTCTCTTATAACGTATGAGTCGTTCCTATGAGACGGAAAAACTCACACGGCTATCAAACACACCCCGGATTAGCCTGACTACGGTAAAGTCAGATACCTTTGTCACAAATGGCGGACATAACCGTCGCTTCAATCAGATTTTCATGAACTGTATGTTTAATAGAGCACCTAGACTAAATTCCTTTGGAACAACAATCAATCAAAGTGTCTTAATACTCATTGTACAATTAATAATGTTCTACCATCGAAATAAAGTCTTTAATTTAACCGATCAAAATGAGACATGGGACAACGGACACTGTAATTACCATTTGCCGTTGTCTTTCTTAATTACTCAAATTCAGATTCCGTTGTCATTGACGATATCGAAGAGGCTATATTGTGGCGAAAATTTGATCGAAAATGGGATTTCATATGATACATTATCACAAGAGCTTAATGCATGCACAGAATTAACGACGATAAAATCCCATGAAATGAGGACCAAGCTGTGATTAAACAGTTGAAGCGACGGCTATGTCCGCCATTTGTGACGGTATCTGACGTTACCGTATTCCGGTGCGAAACAATCAGATTGCTGGAATTTTACATAGTGTGTGATGAACATCAGTTTTACGTTTTTATAAAACTGAGCTATAGTCCTCTGATACTTGTTTATTTAAGGAATATGACCGAAAATTTAATTTCATTGTTAAGAGACCGAAATCGCGTAGCGTAGATATGATACATATACATAGTGCAATATGTCATGCTGAAACGAACAGCCCCTTGTTATTTTTTATGTTCATTGTTATTTCATTTCGTATATGACAATAATGGACATTTGATTGTTTCAGATGCTGTACTGTAATTCTACATCCCGATGAATAAATCATGGAGGTACACGTGGGGATGCATTAGCTGCGGCATCACTCATTAATGTACCAAATTCCCTCGGAAAATCGTGTTTACACAACACCACTCTTTACATAGCCACTGGGGAGTAACGTGATGCAATTTTTGCAACAAAAAATGTCTTAAAATGCAGCATGTTTTGTCACTTCCTGTTATATAATTTCCTGTTAAGTATTACGTCACCTCAAGATACGATCTATAATTTTTTTAAATGCTCTTAGTACTGTATTTACTTTTAGCATCACCAAGAAGCAAGAAATTCAGTTTTAGTTCCTCGCTTTTGATGCAATACACGACCCTGTTTATTATCAATGATACAAAAACACGTACAAATTGCTGATGCAAAAACGCCAATATAATGTATTCATGAATCTAATATTAGAAACATATATTCATGTTTACATGTGTAAGAGGTTCATGAATGAAACGCATTTTGTGCGGTTTATAAATGTATTCGTATCAAAATGGCACGTAGACTAACAATTATCCTAATGATCCATTAGTACAGATGCCCTGATGTGAAATTGAAAGTCCATCCTGATAGAAAATATTCGAATTCAAATCATTGCCAGCAAATGAAATACATTTGGGGCCTTGGAAAATTGAAACAAAATGATGAAGTATGATTATCAAGTATGATTATGAGTATGATTTTAGGAATTTAATCACATATAAATGATATTTTATGATTATTAAATGGTGTGTACTTGGTTGTCACATTGCCTATTATTTATTTTAATGACATTTTCTAATTTTCAATTAATCAAATTATAATTAAGCATTTTTAAGGCCTATGTCACATTTGCTACAGCGACCATTCATTCCTATAGTCGCCTTTGAACTTTTGCGGCCAGATGTTTAAGCAATCACTGCTACTGCAGTTTTGCTTCAGTTGCCGTGCGAAGTATTTTGAATTTGAGGAGAAAAAAAATATGGTTATCGCATGGCCTTTGATTGGTGATGCAAGATCACCTTTCTGCGATTCGGCTACGTCGTGTTCACTTAGATGAAAACATTCCGAGTTATAACTTCTACGGCGACTCTACATGCTGTATTACTGGATATGATGAACGGAGACCGTAATCCAACCGTAGTTTTCATACGGTTGCCGTTGGAATTTTCCCCTCTAGGGATTTATGATATTTTGAAATTATACGGTTGATTAATTAATAGTCTATGAACGCCCATAATATGGTTCAACAATCTGCCATTAATTGTTGTTTTCGCATCATTGGAAATAACATATAGGAGCGTTTTTGCAGCTTCTGTGTGGTGCTTTTGCATCAAAAGCCAGGGACTAAAACCGTGAATTTCTCGCTTCTTGATGATGCTTGATCAATAATAATAACATTTCCTAAAATCATCGATCGTGTCTTATTTGCACGTCTGCGATTATAGAGAAATTCGTCAAAGAAATGGGTTTATCTGGAGAAAAGAAAACATTTTTTGAGAATCCATCACTATACTCCCCAGGGATAGAGAGATTTGACAGAAAAGATCATAATTGTGAAACAATTAAATGTAAAAGGCCTCAGTCTATATTGGGTCGATGTATTCTTCAATAGGGAGGTTCAGCTTGCATTGTCTTTTTACAACCTAAATATTAATTGAAAATATTTAAGCGATGCATTTGTATGTTTGATTGGTCATACGTATAGCAGGTTAGCGTTTTGATTTTATACGCAAGCTTAAACTCCCTAATATCTATATACGCACGAGGAGCAGTATTATTGCTAAAATGATTTTCGCATTAAAACTAACATTAATATATACAATGTAAAGCATTTCATCATATTATTTAACTTATATTATTATTTAACAGATTTTAGATACTGTGTATAACTGGTGTAAAAATGGCGGGTCTGTGTACAGGGCGTCAAATAAGTCTGTTCTCCCCCCTTAACTTTTTTATGTTTAAATTTATCATACTTTTCCATATATCATTTTGAAGCTTGTGGAAAATGCTGATCACCCTAAAAAAATCTATCATAAACTCCTTCTAATAAAATTGCTACTATGTTTCTTGTAAGGTTGTAGTTGACCTTCGATTGCGACAAAACAAGTAAAATTACCAGGTATAGTGAATGAAAAGTGAAAAGTTGATACTGCAGTGACAATGCCAATATTGGGTGATTTCGATGTTTCTCAATATCGTTTCATAGTAAAATGTGTTAAATCAGGAGAGCTTTTGAAGCAGGGGCATCTTTCATCACTAAACAGTTGATAACAGCCAAAATTATACGTTCTGAAAGATTTATACAGGATCATATCCTCGTAGAATTGAGGCCATGCAAGATGCTTGGGGAGATATACAGACTATTCAATAAGTGAAATATGGACATCACTAAAAATACTCTAAAAAATTTGGAATTCAACCAATCACTCTGATGAAATTTGGTGTGTGATCAGCAAATTTAATTCCCTGTAAAATGGTATATACCAACCCTATGTTATTTCTGAATTAAAAAAGATCAAGGGGGAGAACAGACTTATTTGACGCCCTGTATACATTGATAAGTCAAATATTGTACATTTTAGGCACAAAACTGTTAAACTATCAGAGTTTGACTTTAAACTTGCAAACAAGTCTTTAAAAATTGTTTTAGATTACAAGTATCTTGGTGTAATTTTTAATGAACATGGCAGCTTTGTAAAGACAGCCACAGCTTTGGTTGACTCTGCTGATCGGGCACTAGGCTCTTTGATTCAACGATGCAAAATGTCGAATGAGTTTGGTTATAAAACCTGTACACAAAATTATATATGTAATACATGTGTTTTACCGATACAAGGTTATGGTGTAGGAGTTTGGAGATTTGACAAAAATGTTCATGATATATGTAATTGTATTGTATTCTTTATTTACCTCTTATATAAGAGATGTGATAATATTCATAATCGGGCACAAAGGTACTTTTTAGGAGTTCATCGATTTGCACCCATCATGGGAATATATGGAGATGTCGGGTGGCTCCCTCTTGATCTAATACATAAAGTAGAAACAATCAGACTTTGGAATACGTTTCTAAGTTTAGACAATGATCGAATCATAAAGAAAATATGCTAATGGAGAAAATCAAGTGATTCAGTATGGATTAGACATGTCAGAAATATTCTTATATCAGTAGATATGGAACAGGATTTTATCGATGATCAAGTTATCAACCTTAAAACTGTTAGACACATATTTACTGGGAAACTATGTACCTGCATGGGAAGTAGCAATAAAAGCTAAGCCAAAATGCGCACTTATGTAACCTTTAAAAAGTGTATAAAGTAGATAAGTATCTAACATTGAATTTTTCAAAATTTGAGCGAAGTCTAGCAACTCAGTTTAGACTAGGTACTTTGCCACTTAGGCTAGAGACAGGCAGATTTAAGGGCGAACATGTGGAAGAAACATTATGTACACTATGTAACAATAACTCAGTTGAAACAGAAATACATTTTTTATTCCATTGCAATAGATATGATGATCTGAGAAAACATATTTTGAAGAGGTGAATTTTAAAGATTTGGATAATGAAGGTAGCAAAATTGAATTCCTTTTTAGGGAACATACCTGTAAAATTGTTAAATTTTGTTAAGATGGCTTTTGTGTGGAGAAGGAAATTCATTTACAACCTGTGATATTGATTTTCGTGTATTAATTTTGTATTTCCTATTGCTAACAGTGGTTAATAAGCCCAAACTGGCTTGGTAAAATTGTAATTAATTTTTTATATTTTATAATTGAATTGTAAGACTGACCCCTATAAATAAATAAATAAATAAACTAAACTAAACTAAACTATATTCCACCCCTTCTCTTTTCAGGTCCTTTACTTACACATACAGGGTGTCCGGAAAGTAAAGATACAAATTCTCTTAAAGTCTCCGATAAATCGGACTACGTATACCACCGTGTTTACATTAATTTAGGAGATTAGAAGAGTTTACTTTTATTTAGGTATGCAAGCAATATCAATATTAGGCCTTCATCATAATGCATGTACTCGTGTGTACAATCAGCATGCCCTTCAATATTATATAAACCAGGCTATTCAAGTACTACATAATGTACACTATTTATGTGTGTACAACATGGGAATACGATTCCCTGGGAAACAAAACACAAATACTTTTTATGTGTTCAAAATGAGCCATTTGATTGATGCATACACTTAATACCTTCATATGTAAACATCTACAAAGTATATCTAATAGTCATTTTCAATTCCAATGGTGAAACTTTGCTGTTTACGATTATACGGGAAATCAACATGGGACGAAGATTGTTCACCTTCCTGACTTACCTCTGAAGCCTGTACCTTGTAATCTCTTTATATAGGTTAGCGAGAGCGCTGCGCCTGTGCAGTTTTAAACGTTGGCGCACACTTTAAGAGATTTTTATTTTTTGAAATGAAATTGCTCGAAATTGTAGAGGAAGGTTATTACAATATACCTACCAACTTTCATCACATATAGTCTAAACGTGTTCAAGGTATTGTTGTTATGGTTACGGTTGTTATTGTTACAGCTGTGAGAGGTATGCGGAGCAGTTCCAAAAACGCTAAAGTTTGAAAAATTGCTAAAATCAACCATTTGAAACAGTGTTTTCTGTTGTATTTTCTATAAATGTTTTATTTTGTTTGTTGTTTGTATTATTACTAACATAGTGTTTTCTTTTGTATAACCATGTCATTGTTACTTATCAGAACTAGTTTATGTCACTAACCAGTTAAATCAACAAAATATTTTACAAGCGCTTAGAAAAACAGTCTCTGGGTTAGTAGGAAAGTCATGATGCATCTAATGTTGGATAACGCACCAATTTTCTGATGTTTTTAAAGTATGGCTATATTATACTCAAATTGAAGGAAATATAGGGTAAACCACGATAATTGTATTGTTTTTTATTCGTGCCTCAGAAAATTAAAAATGGCTGCCAAGTGTTGGATTATGCAAAAAATTCCCAAATCCTTTCAAAATGTGGCTACATTTATCTGTCTTTTATCTTCAAATCAATGTTAGTGTAAATGGTAAATATAATATCAGTCTGAGACATACAGATTAATAGTTTAATCTTTGTTGGAATTTTAACAAAAATTTTAATGTAAAATTTTTCAACTCATTAATTACGAGAGATCGTCAATAAATACTAATAGTTACTAAATACTAATTTTTACATGTATGTTACGTAAGAAATCAGCATAGGACATTGCATAAAATGTCGCAAACATCACTCATGCCTTGGCCACATTTGCTACGATTTTCACTACGGCGCCCGGTCGATGCATATTTTGTTCAAAATCGGATGGCAGTTATCGGACGCTATCGACCGAATTTTGAACGTCGTACCGGCGCTGGTGTGAATAT